GAGAAATCCCCGTCTTAATCGCCCGAAATAGCCGAATTGTGGGTGAGCGGAGTAGAAGAATTTAATTGAAGTATGAAAAAGTAGTGCAAGAATTAGGGCAGGGGAGTAAACAAATTTACAACGGCAACGGTTGTATGAAGCATACAATCAAAACAGATCAAATTCCCCACCTAATGAGTAAAGTAGAATAATTTGATAACAATAACACGATTAACAGAAATCTACCTAGATCAACAGTCGGAAACAGCATTCAGTGTGGTTTAGGAAATATTCCGTGTAATTTCGAGTGCTTCGAACGTGACGGAGTCTGGGGGGTGATTGAAGTGGCAGCGTTATCCGTAACTGGGGCTAGCTTCGAAGCATTGTGTTTAGAGGGAAGAGGAGCAGGAGGTTTACGGAACACTTCGGGACCGGACTGGTTGAGGCGATCTGCTGGATCATGATTCGTTGTTCCGGATCCGGAGAATTTGCGTAACTTGTTGCCTTTCCAAAATCTCGAGATTTTTTTCGATTGCGACCGCGGGGTATGATTCCATGAAGGTTGACGCACGGGTTGTGCGGTCTGTACAGAGTTCGATTCGGATGAATTGGGCAACGTGTCCACTTGGATCGTTAAGTGATGTGTGGCAACCGGATACTTTGCGATATCATAAGCACTGAAACTGCGTATACAAGACGTGCTAGTGGCATTCCATGGCAAAGGAGTTTCCGGAATGTAAGGAATCGGATCGGATGACGTTTGCTGGTGGTGAAAATGACGGAAGGGTGCTAATAAGCATGAGGATGAGCTTCGATAAAGCTAACTGGTTACTAAACTCGCATTATCCACGGAGAAACTGGAGGATATGGAATGCATGACGCGATGTACTTAACGCCAGAAATTCATTTTCGAATAAAGTAGCATTTTAAACTTGATGGGTGAAGATCTTCAATAACAGGCATCCTCGAGAAGTGTTGGTATTCCTAAAACCGCTGCATTACCCCCATCACGACGTTCGAATGGAACATATTGCGGCGACAAACTCGATTTCAGTGATTTTTCCACTCTGGGTAAAACAACAGTGTATACTTCTACCGGAAAACGAGGAATAATCTTCTACACAAAGAAAACAAATTTGCACAGTAAATAACCCCGTTTGTTCGC